CGGCGCGAGAGGCAGGAGGCCCAGGGGCTCCGTTACCGCCGGCACCGCTGAGTGTGGGGAGTCACTTTCTCCGGTCCCTGACCCCCGGCCCTTCGCCAGCTGCCCGGGCTTCCTCACCGGCCGCACGGAGAGCTGTGCGGGCTGCGTGTGCCCATTCTCCGCCTTCTCCCGCTGCACGGCTGTCTGTCCGGCTTCCTCAGGCCTCCTGGGAGGCTTCACTGCGCGCCCACACTACCTGGGGGGGAGGGGGGCTGGGCAGTGTCACCACCGACTGCATGGTGAGGGTGCCCCCTCGTGTGATGGGTTTTACCACACGCCCGCAAGCGTTAACCCTTCTGCCTATCCACTCCCAAGATGTGTTCTGTAGGGGAAACATGCACAGGATAGACCTGCAGGGAAGTCGGCTAATACCCAGGATCAAGGTTGACTGCCACCAGGGACAGTTCGGGTTACCAGAGAGCAAAGTGCAGTCCACACTGGTACCCACCCACCAGCGCCAACACATGGTGCAAGTTGCAGGGGGACAATATGGTGAGTTCAGCATGCGGCCTCCGGTCCTCGGGGTCCCTCCTAACCGGCCTTGCCTGCTTCTCAGTCTAGATCAGTGGTCGGCAAACTGCAGCTCACAAGCCACATGCGGCTCTTTGGCCCTTGAGTGTTCCAACGCCACTTCTTCAAAATAGACTTGCTCAGGCCAAAAACTGACTTCTGCGCATGGGCCATGAAGTTTCAATCACACTGTATGTTCGTGCCCGCATGTAGTATTTTGTGGAAGAGCCACACTCAAGGGGCCAAAGATCCGCATGTGGCTTGAGAGCCGTGGTTTGCCTACCACTGGTCTAGGACAGTGGTAGGCAAACTCCTTAGTCAACAGAGCCGAATATCAACAGTACAATGATTGACTTTCTTTTGAGAGCCACATTTTTTAAACTTAAACTTCTTCTAACGCCACTTCTTCAAAATAGATTCAGCCAGGCCTTGGCATTCTGTGGAAGAGCCACACTCAAGGGGCCAAAGAGCTGCATGTGGCTCGAGAGCCGCAGTGTGCCAACCACTGGTCTAGGAGATTGAACCCCTCCTCCTCAGAAATGTCTAACAGTCCTGGAGGCCACCCGTCAGGGGACCTGCCTTTCCTCGGAAGCTTCTAGAAATGCTGTCCTGCTGGTCGTTGCCTCCCCGGGGCCATGAGTTGCAGGTCTCTTCTCTTAAGCCCCACGGCCAGCAGGTCCACCCACATTGGCGTGCAGAGACTTCCACAGGCTCCGTCCCGCCGTCATCCGGCTTATGGTCTCGGGCATCGCTTTCTGTACCTTACTTAGGCTTCTGCACAGTCACAGGTCTCGCTGCTTGACTTCTACGCGCCCCCAAGCCAGCATGGCCGTGGTCACTTCATGCACACGGTGATCTACGAAAGGGTCAAAGTGGCTGCCAGGAAGCCGAACACGCTGGGGTGAGGGCTGCAGCAAGAATCAAGTCTTTCACATGCGTCATAAAATGCCCTTCAGGACCGTGAGTATTCAGATTAGACGTGGCTTGTCTCAAGTCCACTTCCCGCATCACTTGCACTAAATCTATACACACGGCCTCTTTACTCATGGTTTCTGGCAGTTCTCCAGCATCCTGCCCAATGCTTCGAGACGCTGCCATTGGGCGTCCATCAGGGAGTGGTCTCCCTGCCGGGTTCCCACCCGGCGACTGATATTGCAGTTGCTGCCACCAGGAAGGATGGTGGTTATGGAGGTGACTTCTCCATCCTGGGCGGGGACAGCTGCAAGCTAGCTGTGCCATCATCCCACAACCCAGGAGCCACGCCGGAATCCCTCCCCGGCCTCCGCCGGCTCTGTGGTCCTAATCCTCTGAGTTCGTAGGGGATACAGTGGTCTGTGCGGTTAATTCAGTAACTGTGGGCGGCCCTGGAGCCCCACCTCCTGGGGCCACGAGCTGATCCTGCTCCAGATGCCTTTTTATGATCGGTCACGCCTGCAAGACAGAGGCCGAGGCACCAGCGGTAACACTTCCTCCGAGCTGTTGTCTGGTTCTCCCGGTCCCTCCCGTCCAAGGAGGCTGCACCTGCTCTAGCACACACGCTGGGCTTCCAGTGCCTCCTCCAGGTTCTGTAACTCAAGCCGGTGTCCCGCTGTGTTGCAGTTTCAAGGTCGTTAGGAGCCACCAGCTTACCTTCCTGGCAGCCTCCTGCTCGTCTTGGGGAATCCATCAGGGACCACAAAGCCTTCTCTAATGCCTCTGGCATTACCTCAACCAGCTCCCAGTCCTCTGGGGGTGGGGGTCAGGGGGTTTAAGGTGTCAGGAAGGACCACGCTACCGGATACCACACCTGATTGGAGGCCACATGCCCTCCGACATGGTGGACAGGATACTTACCCAGAATCCTGCCGACTACACCAAATGTTGGGAGCAAACTCCTCAGCTAGGAACTTGCCCCTCTGGGTGCAAGAAGAACACATGGGTGACCGTAGGTAGATGGGCATGCTTATTACGAACAAAGCAGCCCCAAACTGGCTGGTTGGTGGCAACGTATATACATGGCCAATTGGAAGAGGCCTCGTGCCCATTAGTGATGCCCCATCTGTATTAACATAAGCAGGTTGGTGCGCTTGTGCAGGACTTATACTGCCACGGCTGAGTCATTGCCCTTGTGCATGCATAGGGCAAAGGGGCCTTTAACACAGTAATCCTGCTGTGTCCTGGCCTGCATGCATGCGTCTGGCGCGTGAGGAGTAGGCCTTGAACCTTCGGCATGCTCTGCTCAGGGCCCCCGCACATACACAGCAGTTTTGAAAGAAGACAATGGTGTGAATGAGTACTTCCTCCACTCAACCACGAGCCCCAACCATGAACCCACTTAATCTTGTCTTCCCTGTCGGTTCTCGAGAAAACACTTTCTTTCTTTCATCTGTGACAATTTCAGACATAAAAAGCTTTATCCTTGGCCTGACCACAGCCCCTGGATGAGATGTAGTCGGACATTACAAGCATGCTGTGGCTATTTATTGACAGTGCTGAGCTGACTGGTTATTCTTTGAGAGTATCCCAGGCTGCCTTGTTCACATACCGAGAACAACACGCCGAATATAATGAGCCTTTGTGCAGACCCACCCGTACCAGGTACTCTTCCAAGCTGACTACACACATTAACCCTACAAAACAACTTCTTTATTACATGAGGACTGCTATGATCTGTATTTCACCGATGGGGAAACTGAGGAAGGATGAGTAAGTACATAGAGCTGGTAAGTTCCTGAGCAGGGACTGGGAGCCCGGCCCTCCCCAACTCAGCTCACACCTTTGCGCTCCGCCACCACTGCACCTGGAAGCCGAGCCCTGGCGATCTGTTTCTCTGGCCCATCTCTAAAATCACCGCCCAAACTGACCAATTGAAATGGTGGCCATTCTTTGTTCTTTAGTTTTTGTTTATTGACTAGAGGCCTGGTGCATGACATTGGTGCACTCGGTGGCGGGGGTAGGGTCCAATTAGCAGTCCGGGGAGCTCTCCTCACTCTCTGAAGTCTTAAATGCAATATTTAGGAATGAACAGTTCAACTGGAAAATTCCCTGATCTGACTGATCCCAGGAAGAGGAGCCTGTGCTGGTATGTGGGGAGGTCCAGGGAGGGCGTGCTTGAGGAAGCGGGTGGAGAGAGCTGGTCCCAAACTTTCACCAGGTAGCCGGGACACTGTGGGAGGTTTGGAAATGGAGGGGAAGGATGGGTGGGCAGCTGCCTCTGGAGATACCTAAGAGAAGGCAGTTAAAATGCTCCGCTATTTTGGGCTGAATGGTTAAAATGAGAGTGTCATTATCTGAAATAGGCCTATCAGGAAGCTCATCTGATTCAGGGAGAACAAATTCATTTTTAGAATCCTTGCCATCATCCCAGTGCCACAGCTGGGAGACGCCGCGAGGGAGCCTAGGTAAGGAGTTCCTTCAGGGGTGTCCGGGGTGTGGTGTTAATCCCCAGTAATTACAGGAGAGGGTGGAAGGCAGAGGTTGAGATGTTTCCTGGAGGCCCTGCGCCTGCAGAGAGCTGGGGAGATCTGTGCCCCAGCCCTCACCCACAGAGGTGGAATTGGGCACCTGCTGTGAATACAGAGTGTGGCTTCCCAAATAGCCTCACCTCACAGGGTCACAAGTGACTTTCTGTGCCACACCCAAAATCCTTAGAAAGCGAGTGCGTCAGTCACATGGCAAACAGGGTATGTGCTTGGTCTCCAGACTTGATCTCACTTCAGACTAATTTTAAAAAAAATAACCAAGTCAAGCAGTTTGGAACTGGCCATCCTGCTTCTTTCTGCAAAGGCTTGGACAGTGCCAGGGCCCCTCACTGGGGGGGTTGGGGGGGGGGCACACACAAAGCCACTGGGCCTGCGGGCAGGGAGGGAGCTGGAGCCAGGCCAAACGGTGCGCGCAGAGCCAGGCCCGTGGGCAGACCACGCCATGGAAGTGCTTCAAGAACCCCTCTTAGGGCTGACCCCCCCATCTCGGATGGGGACACCATTCCAGATGTCACAGAGGCTCTGGATCAGTCCCCGCACTGCAGAGACCATTCAAATGAACCTGCGGGGGCAAATCTCTTCTTTCAGTCTGACTGGGACCCGCAGCCCAGTTGTAGAGGAGCGCGGTCCTCTGTCCACAGGGGGCCCCGACTCCGGGCGGGGACACGGGGTGGAGGCGGGGGGGAAGGCGCGGGGCGCAGCGCGCGGCGCGCAGAGGCCCAGGATCTGGATCTGGAGGTCTCGGGTCCGGGAGAAATCCAGGCCGGGTTTTGCGGGCGCGGGGGCCCAGGGCGCGTGGCGGCGGCGGCGGCGCCCACAGCTCGCGCCCCGCGGCCGCTGCAGGCCCGAGAGGCGCGGCCCGGCCGCCGGCCGCATGGGGCGCAGCGCGGCCCGCGGCTCCGGGGCGGCGGCGCGCGGCTCGCTCACGCCCGCCCCCTCCCCGCCGTAGCCCGCACCGCGCACCGGCGGGCGGCGCGGCGCCCGGCAGACATGCAGGCGCGCCGCCTGGCCAAGCGCTCCAGCCTGGGCGGCCGCCGCGGGGGCCCCGCGCTGCCCCCGCCGGGCCGGGCGCCCGAAGGCGGGAGGCCGCCGCCGCCCCGGAGCGCGGGGCCCGGCCCCCCTCGGGCCGCCGGGGCCGCCCTGTCGCCGGCGCTGCTGCTGCTGGGCGGGGAGGACGAGGAGGAGGAGGGCGCGGGCCTGCGGCGGGGGCGCGGGCGGCCGCCGGAGAGGCCCCGCGGGGGCGCGGAGGACGGGGACGAGGACGAGGACGACGAGGAGGAGGGAGTCATCGAGGCGGACGGCGACGAGGACGAGGACGGCGAGGAGCGCTTCCCGCCGCCGGGCCCCGGCCGCGCGGTGCCCCGGGGCCTGGCGCGGGGCGCGGGGAAGGTGCGTGCGGGCGCGGGGCGGGCGGCCGGGGGCGTGGCGCGGGCCGGGGCGGGGGTCGTTCAGCCCGGCGGGCTCCGGGCTGCGGGCTCCGGCTGCGGGCCACGGGCTCCGGGCGGCTGCCCCTCCCACCCGGAGGGCCTGGCGGCGCGGGAACGGCCACCTGCCCCCGTGCGCTGGGAACTTGGCGCCGGGACAGGCGGGCGCGGGCTGTGCCGCGGGGACGGCGAGGCCAGAGGGGGACGCGCCCTTGTTGGGGCAGCGGGGTGGCCCCGGTCCGGGCCGGGAAGGCCGGGCTGGCTCCTGGCTCCGGCCCGCAGCCCGTCCCGCCCGCCGCCCTGCTCGCCCATCAGCCCGGTCTCCGGGAACAATCCCCGCCAAGTGTCCACCGCCGGCGCCGGGAAGCGGTAGCCGGGCGGCCGCCGCCGAGCCTGCGGGTTCTACGTGCGTTTTGCGGCAGCCTTGGCGGGGCCCCCTGCCCTCCCTGTTTAACTGGACATGGTTTGGCGTTTTGGCTTCTTTCCCCCCTCCAAGCTGCAAAGAAAGGGGGAAATGGGGGGCATAGAGGGCAGGGTGGGTCTGGCAAGGGAGCGCAGTGGGTGTGTGCGGAGGATCCAGCGCGGTCCGGAGCCTGGAGCCGGGAGGCTGGGCTTGTACTCGGGAGGGAAGGGGTGGGTGATGGGCGGGAAGGGGTGGGTGATTACACAAGCGCCTGGCTGCTCCCGGGCCTGCGATTGGCCCAGCCGGCGCCGCGGTTCGCACAGTGTGTGTTGCTAAGAAGTTTGGAGGCAGCAAGTGGGAAGGGAGGGCTTCTCTCCCAGTGGCCTCAGCCACCTGCAGGCCTGCTGGCTGGAGGTTTCAGAAGGTAACCGACCTTCGAGGGAGGAAACATGCATAAACTAGCGAGTTTAATAGATAAATATAAATATATATATTATTTTTGCAGGGGCTTGCGTAAAAGTCAGCTCCCCAAAGCATGACATTGTAGTTGCAAAGAAACCTTAGGAGCATCAGGACAGCTCCTGTGTTGGCATGGCCACAGGTTTCTTTCTGAGACCACCCACAAGCATCTCTCTGGGAGGGAGGGATTTCCAGTAAGTAGTCATGGGGAAGGGTTTTGATAGTTGCTTGTTGGAACCCAGACCGTAACCACACTCTTTACCACGGCTGTTCCTGCACTGACGGCCATAGGACCCAGCTGGGAGTGGCGGTCAGTACCCTGACACCAGGACACCGAGGAGCAGGAGTGAATATTTAGTATTTTCTTCCAGAAGTCCTGAAAATGTGCCTTGTGGTTTGAACAGTGCTTTGCACAATTTGTGATAGAAAACAATTATAGTTCATGGTCTGTCTTCTAAGCAAATGCAATGTAGGGGCAAAAATCAAATCTATAAAAACAGAATGACCGTAGTGGTAATTTACATTATCAAAAATATTTTTCACATCTAACACATTTCTGTTACATTATTTCAAAGTGGGTTTTATTTTATAGCGAGAGGCTCGATGCACAAAAATTCGTGCAAGAGGGTCTTCCTTCCCTCTGGCACCTGGGACCCGGGCTGCTTCCCTCCTCCAGCCGCCCACAGGCATCCGGGACCCAGGCTGGTTTCCCTCTGGCCCCGGCTTCATCAGGAAGGACATTCGGAATGACGTCCGGAAGGACATCTGGTCTAATTAGCTTATTACCCTTTTATTATTCTAGATGTCTTGGTTAGGATAGTTGAGCTGTTTGTGGTATAATTTGTATAAGTTTATACTGCTTTTCAGCCATCTTGACATTGCATCTAAAGAGATTTTCCAGTGGAATATAATGGGACATTTTATTATAAGTGCATATAACAATGTCAATATCATAGATATATGTATATGTAGGGATGGGCAAAAGGAGGTTTACATTCATTGGCATGGAAAAAGACATCAGGTTATGATGATTATAATAGCTTTATTAACTCTGTTTTTGCATACTCACAACTATATACCTACTTTTGCCCACCCCTGTGTGTGTATAATATATATATTATACACACACACACACACACACACACACACATCATAATAGTCTGGCTACTCAGTGTATATTCTATATAATAAAAGGCTAATATGCAAATTGTTCCCTTGACCAGGAGTGTGACCAGCAGGCAGGCCGGCCGGCCAACCGCCCATATCCCTTTCCTCTGGCCAGGCTGGCCAGACCCCACCCATGCACGAATTCATGCACCGGGCCTCTAATATATATACACACACTGAGTGGCCAGATTATTATGCACTCAGAGATCATATTAATCTGGCCACTCGATGTGTGTGTGTGTATTCACATATGCACTTGTTTACTCAAATATTTATTGAACACCCACAATGTGCCAGGTGCTACTCTAGAACACAGAAGTAAGCACCTTCATATACTCACATCTGATTAGAGGAATCATAGCAACAAGCAAAGATGCAAAGCAGGGAGCTTGGGAGTGGAGAGTGCTGCACAATGAGGGGGAAGTGGTGTACCTCACTAACGAGGAGGAAGAGGGGAACACTTTATGGGGAAGACCGCCCTGAGGAGGGGATTTGGATCTGAGATCCGAGCCACAGCTGGAGAAGATCTTTCCAGAGGGAAGGAATGGCAATGGCAAAAGTGTTAACGTGGGGAGGAGGAAAGGTGTGAGACTTGGTGGGTTGAGATGCGCCAGGGAGGCAGGTGGGGGCAGCAGCTTAGAGCCCAGGGGGCCTTCTGAGATAGAGGGTGAAGACTGTGGAACGTGCTAAGCAGTAACGGCATACGAGGTGACTTGTGTTCTTAAAAGGCCATGCTGTGTGGACAGCAGGGAGAGACCAGCCAGATGGTCATCGTCCAAGCGGGAGGTGAGGGCATGCTCCAGGTTGGCAGAGGGAGTGCGAGAGGAGTGGATGGAGTCAGGGTCCATTGTGACAGACGACTCTCAAGAACTAGCTGATGTGAGAGCGGGAGGGGAGGGAAGAGAACGCAGGGTGAGGCCTGATGTGAAGGCGGGTTGGATGTGCTATTTGCTGTGATTGGGAGAACAACGGATTTTTGAAGGGAAAAGAGTCCTGTTTCGGACATATTATGTCTGAGATGACAGTCAGACATCCACATGGAAGCTGGAATGGGGCAGGTGGCTGCAGGATGTGGGGCGGAGGGGAGAGAGGTCAGGGCTGGAGAGAGAGATTTGGGAGCTGCCAGCATGTTGGTGTCGCTTGAAACTAGTTAGAAAGGAAGTGAGACAGGCCTAGAGAGGGAGCCTGGGCCAGACCCTGCGGCTCAGCATTGCTCGGGAAGCTGGTCTGGGAGGAGGAGGAGGAGGAGGAGGAGGAGGAGGAGGCAGCAATCATGAGTGATGGGAACTGGGAAATGTGAAAGCCAGCCAGCCGAGCGAAATAGCTTTGAAAATGGGGTGTGCTGCGTGGTGCTGAATTCTGCTGGGACGGTGAACAAGATAAGGATGGAGCCATGCTCGTTCCGATTCGATAATGTGGGACTTGGTGTCCTTGCCCAAGAAAATGTGAAGTCAGTGATGTGACTAGCGTGGGCTGAGCAGTGAATGGAGGTGAGGCCGCAAATGGAAAACTGTTTACAAGTTTTGCTGGAAAGGAGAGCAGAGAGAAGCGGAGCATTTGGGGGGCATATGGTCCAGACTTATTTTCACAGGACACGGGAGATGCTAGTGCATGATGGGAAAGTCTGGTCCGGAGCAAGTGTATTTGGTTTCCATTGCAGTGTAACAAAGTCACCACAAACTTTCTGACTTACAACGGCGGTCACGGTGTCTATAGGGCTAGGAGTCCAGGCTCAGCTTCCCTGGGCCTATGCTGTGTCCCAGGCTGTAGTCTGGCTGCTAGGTGGGCTGTGTTCTCATCGGGAGGCTGGGCTGGGGAGGGGCTCCCCTGTGAGCTCACTCAGGTTGCCAGCAGAATCAGTCCCTTTGCATCTGTGGGTCTGAAGGTCGAGTTTCTAGCTGGCTGTCACCTGGAGGCTGCCTTCAGCTTCTTCTAGACCCCCTCTCCCCACCCCAGGGCTGCTTCCCATGGCCTTCCTCCACACAGCTGCCTGCTTCATCCAGCCTCCTGTCTTCGGGAGAGCCGGAGGCTTGTGTACTGCGCTGCAGTCACAGCAGCAATGAAACGGCCATCATCTTTGCTATTGGTCAGGAGTGACTCCTGGGTTCCACTCACACGTGGGGAAAGGGGTACACGAGGCACGGATGCTGGAGCGAAGGATCGTCTGGTCACCTTCGGGAGGAACAAAGGTGCAGAGAAGAGGGATAGTTTCAGGGTGACGGTCCTGGAAAAGCCGCAGGGGAGGGAACCTGGACCCCACGGACAGGGGTTGGCCTGGGACGGAAGCCAGAGCCCTTTGTGGAGACAGGGAGTGGGTGGTTATATGTCTGTGAGGGTCGGATGAAGTGATTCTGGGCCGGTGGCCTGTTTCCCCCGCGCAGCAGGGAGGAAGTCGATGGCGGAGGGTGAGGGAGACCCGAAGTTGAGCTGAAGGCATCACATACCTAGTATGGCCAGCTCAGGTCTACGTGTACATTCTCGTTTAAACTTGATTACACACCCATGGGTCATCAGCGTCCTCCGCATCATCCTCACTTTGCAGAAGGGATGGGCAGTTCCCTTAAAGACACAGGTGCTGAGTGGCAGAATGGGGCTGAGCCCGGGAAGGGTAACCGCAGAGCATGCTTGCATCGCTGCCTCGTACACAAAGCAGACAGCTGGAGTCAGCAGGGATGGGGCTCAGCCAGGTGCGTGAGCAGTGGCCCAGCTGTGACCGTAACCACAGGCGTGGGCTCTAAGAAAAGGGAGGACAGGAAGGGGTGAGGGGCGGCGACACAGTCATGCTTGGGTCAGTGGATCGGAGAAAACAGAGTAAACCCATAAAATCCATAGGAGAATGGGAAGGAAATGGAGGACAGTTTGGGTTACAAAGTGACGTGATTGCAAATGAATGTTTGCCGACTACTGGAGCCGGGAGCTGCCCTGAGCGGCGTGCA